AATAATATATCCTGGTAGTCATGGATTATTTTACGAAATAGACTGAGGTCTATGCGATACTAAATCAAGAAGCTGCTACCGTTGCAGAGGCAATTGTTAAATAATTCTTTAGCTGATTTGGTGTTCGTTTGGAAATCCACTCCGACCAAGAGCGAAACTTTAAGTTAATCCTCTTCTAAAACGTTTATAAATTAATTGGTGTTAATAAGACCAAAACAACACCCCTACATCTTCAATCAGATGAAATGGAATACAAAGTTGTATTCGAAAATCAAGGAGATTGAGCCTGGTGTTGGGTCGTGAAGTTCTTTTGCCCTTCGACCAAGAGTTTGGCCGCAGACCTTCTGAACCACATGTTGCAAGCGAAGAATATGACGACTGCCTAAAGTTAAGAATGAACAACAACAACGATTCTCGATGCAAAAATAAAAGCTTTGAAGTAGATGATCTTATTTGGCTTTATAATCCACAATGTCATCGAAGCTTGTTTCCTAAACTGCAAAGACAATTAAAAGGTCCATAAATGTCGTAGTATAGCAAATTAAGAAGTTGTCAAAAATTAAACCAAAAATTGTTCACACAAATCTTCTGGCACCTTATGCTAACTAAAATAAAACAAAAGAAGCACGAAATCTTCAACATGAGACCAAAGATGACGGGCGACCAAACTTTAAGGAATTTATGTCAATTATGCAGAAAGAAAAAGTGCTAGATTCGGCGTAACCACAGAAGTTCAACAGGATCTTTTTACTGTTCCAGAAAACGTCTCTCTAGCACACTATGTTGCCCAAGACCTCGAGAGGATTAAAAGAATCTCGCCCGTATTCAATAAGAAGTTCAGTCGCTTGGACGAGTTGAAAAATTAGCAGCCTAAAGTTTGAAGAGTACTGCGATTAGAAGATGGTCCTCGATCTTTGCTATATATGGCGACTAGGAAGTGTTATACAGATAAAACAAGCTACTAGGACATATGGCATGCTTTAACTAATTTTAAGAAAATTGTGGTGTGCAATTACGACATCAAACATTTGGCTATAGCAAAGATAGGCCATAGACTATGGCATAAAATTTGGATTGGAAAATTGTGAGAAGCATGCTTGTGCAGGTGATCTACCGAGAAACGGGCGTATGAATGTCTGTATGTTGCATTAACTTAAAGAGGTTATGTATTTTAAAGTCAGTATACTGTTATTTCTAATTAAGGGGTTTATGCAGAGCTGGAGAGTCCTGTTAGATTTCGCCATTTGGGCTTACATATAAAATTGCTGATCGGAACTCTCAGATCTAAGAGGGTAGCAATGTAACGAGAAAGCTAATTTTGACGTACCCTATATAACGGTTGCATCTCCTAGAATGATGATGCGTAGACCAGAATATTTGAGAAGAGGAACTGCAGGACATACGACGCGGCCAGTGAGACGTTCATAATAGGAACGATAGAGATGGACTATTCTAGAAAATTCTGGAACCCTGTATTTGTATATATAAAAGCCGCACTGATATTAGTTTAGTTTAGCTGATAATAAGATATTCTCGTACTGTAAGCTCATAAATAAATCTATTTATATAAATTAGAACCGCTCGTTTTATTATTAGACACATTTCAATATATTCCGATACCTACAGGTTTCCGTGTGGAGGAAGTTACGGGCTAATCAGAAACCATCTGGTAAAAACTAGATAAAAATGGCACAATGTAGAGAAAAGTAGAAATAATTTGAGATGCACGTCTAAAGCCAAACAGAAAAAAACATTAAATGAAGGAGATACACTTCTTCGTCTTCTTCTTCGTCTAGCCATTCACGTCCACATCTGAACATAAGCCTCTTCAAGTCTTCCTTTCCATTGGTTTTTATTATACGCTACTTGTAGCCAATTTTTCCCGGCAGTCCTTTTCAGATCATCTGTCCATCTCATAGGAGGTCTGCCTCTGGGTCTTTTGTGTTGGTATGGTCTCCAGGTTAAAATTGATCTGTGCCATTTGTTTAGATCGCTCCTAGCTACATGTCCAGCGTATTCCCATTTCAGCTTTAATGCTTTTTGCACCACATCGGTGACCATCGGAGATACACATCGCACTAATAATACAATAGTGTCGCAACTAAAAATTCTTCGAAATGGACGTAACATTATATTCACGAGTAAAATTAAATTCCCTATAAGTCAATAAAACTGTCGTTTTAATAGTGCAATAAATGAATAATATATGGCGCCATAAGACGTTATTCATGACTGACCGACTGTCGTCATCCCCCCCCACAATATCGCGTCATCTTTAGTTGCGACCAACAGTGATCGGAAAGGCACGTGTTGCTTTGCTCACCATTTCGAGTTTCCACGTTACTGCTGAATCAGGTACGTAATTTTCTTAGCTGTATTTCAAGTTATTATATTCTTGTTGATTTGAACCTAACCATAATATTGTTTTTTTTTTTCTAGTTATTACCCTATTACTGATTTAGGACGAGCACTTTTTAAATTAATATTTATACTAACGACACTATTCTTGATTCAGTTCATTATTTTTGACATGCTACATTATTTTTAAATAATCATTTTAAATCATTTTTGTTGTTATTTGTAAAACCTTTATTAATCATTACCTATTTGCCGATCACTGAATAATAATAACTTATTTAAAAAGTGTAGCGTTGTTATTAAGAAAGAACTACTTTATTTTATAAATTTAGAGTTAATGCACTCTTTGTGACATTCTTCCGTCAAGTACCTATATACTTAATCTAATAATATTACTTGATTCATTTGTAGGTTTAATACCTATGAGTCGTGGGCGATTACTTGTTGCTATGACAACAAATGCTGAGGACTGCGAGCAGGAAATCCCTTCACCACCGTTATTGTCACTGGAGAGTAGAAATAATGAACCTGGTGCCCAAATAGAAAACAGTGACGTTGCAAAAATACGATCACCTTCTATACCTTTACCATTTACGAGTGATCAAGTACTTCCAGAAATTGACGTAAACAGTTCTTTTAGTAAGGTTAGTAATGTTAAACCTATTATAGAATCCAACCACGGCCAATATTACATTTCACCGATGCACTCAGACCATCGAGTTGCTCTTCAACCAGTAGCTGTTTATCAAGTAGCTTGGATGAGAGAGTTGTGGACAATTGTCTTGTCTCAAAAGAGTCCTTTTGCTGGAACTAGTGGGATAACTAATGAATTTAATGTTTCCTCGGAAGAGCAAAACAATAATACTAAGGGCAAAAAGAGGATACGTAATATTAAAACCTGGGAACACAATGTAGCCAAACGACTTCGCAATACTGGCAAAGCGTATGAATCTGTGAACAAAAAACAAGTGCCTGCCAGGAAAATGGGTCCGACTTGTGGCAAAAACTGCAGGTTAAACTGTCATTCACGAATAAACGAGACATCAAGCCAAGATATTTTTAATAAGTATTGGAGTTTGGGAGATTTACAAAAACAACAAAACATTATTAGACATACATTTAATTCTAATCAGTAATAATTGATTTTGAGACTGATTCAAACTGAGTTTAAATAATTTGTTTTTCTTTTAAGTAGGTCCTTTTAATTGACCAGGAATTAATTAAATATGACTATATTTGTTGTTCTTTTTTCGGAAGGTTTATTTTGTTAAATATATAGATTAAGTACAAAATGTTCAAGAATACTGTATTTTGTTATCTGTATCTGAATTTAATTAATTATAATATAAACGTAATTAAAAACAGTCTTGATTTATTTATTAATACCAAAAACGACAATTCTCGGTAATTGTTAACGTGTAATACAATCTCTTTAGATCCAGTGTTAACAAATACCAAGAATCAAATTCCCAAAATTGTTGTAAGTCCAAAAACTAACGTAAACCGTAGAAAAAAATAGTAAATCAAATTGTAGTAACACAAAATATTTCATAAATAATGTCATAACCAAAAATATTATTTCATTTCGAACATTTTGCTTAGAGCAATACAGTGTTAACTCAAAATTTTCTGAATAACTTCACTGTCAGTATTTTTATTTAACAAAGAGTAGAAAGAAACTTCATTTAATATTAATTAGAAAGATATTATGCATTAATTTTATTTTTACCTGCAATAGCCAATGATTAATCAGTTTCTCGTTGATTCTAAAAATCATCTTTTTTAAGTTACGACACTATTGTACTATTAGTGCGACATGTGTTGATTATAAACAGGCATATGATGTAACAAATAAAAGAAAAATCATGATACACTAGACCAAGCAATCAAGCATGTTGTGAATATTGATAAAATTGACATTAACTAATAAAAAAAGAATGGGAAAGTTCTGAAAATAATGAGTAAAAAATGAGGAGTAGAAATATTAATATATATATATATATATATATATATATATATATATATATATATATAATATATAATATATATATATATATATATATATATATATATATATATAGCAACTCTGCTTAGAAAACATAAATATAGAAATCATTGGCATCAACTTAAGCAAACATTTATATTCTCGTTAATAGAAAAAATAAAAAGCATTTAAATTAACGGAATAATATACGAAAAAAAATAAAAGTTTTGAGGAATAGATGAATCAAACACTGAATTTTAGTGTTGCAAATTAAATGTTTAGTTTTAAAACAACTAAAATGGATATACATATTTTAATATTTAAAATATTAAACCGAAATGAACCAAATGAAGAATATTAGAGAAGTATTAGACATTGAAAAGTTTTGTGCCTTTACGTAATGGCTAAAATGAGAATTATTAACCATTCCTCTAAACCGCCTTTATTAATGTTTGCCGTAGTTGCAGACGAAACAACCAATTATCGAATCTTACTTAAAAGCCCCGATAAAAATTTTTCTTCACCAAATGTGATCTAAGATGTGGCTAAATATGTACTGCTTTCCGTTATGCATTTATGTTTTGATCGCTCTTCTATAATTGTTGATGTGTATTGATCCTCTTATTTAATATTTGGTGTAAAATAGTTTTTGTTTTAGTTTGTTGGTCTTTGGTATGAGCAACAAAGGTATCCAACCATCCTAGAAAAGAACGGTAAATGTGTTTTCACAAAATATTCATTAAATGACGACAAATCAATTGGGATTAATACCACATACCTTAATGAAGAGTAAGTACCATACGTAACCATTCGTTAAAATAAATCAGAGAAAACATATTTTTTTATTTTAACATTAACGCATTACCCATCTAGAATATTGGAGTATAAGGACGTAAGTATACAAAATCTCAATTCTAATCTCTTTGATATTCAATAATTGATATATTTCCGTATCTTTGAAATATTTAATAAAATGTTCACTGCTAATATCTTCACCTCACAAAGTGCATGTTTTAAAACTTCGTATTCCAAAACATTAAACGCATGTTCTGCATATCCATCTGTCAAGTAATGATTTAAGAGTGAGTAAAAGAGTGAAATAGAGGAGAGGAATGATAACTCGCGACCAGGTGCATTGAGTACTTTATCGACAGATAGGAACATGGCATGTGTAGGAGTCTTGATTATAGAAATTCGTCGAGTTTTAATCTGAACCATAATTTGAGACAATGTTGTAGTCAGTATAGGATATAAATTGAAATAAGGTTGAATGCTCGAATAAATGAACTTTGATCAAATGAAAGGCAGATATAAAGCACAGTTTATGAATTAAATCTTACATAAGTACTTCCTTTTCTTAGAGCATCAGGGGCATTTCGTCAATTTCACACACACACACACACACACACACACACACACACACACACACACACACACACACACACACACACACACACACACTACACTAGGTACCTGACTGTACCATACCAATGATCTTAGTTGTCGATACATTAACTCAATAATAAAAAATAATTCAGACAAGCTTAGTAATTTCAATAATTTTTTGTTAGCTATTGTCAATCAAAAACAGATGAATATCATTTTACCGAGCGCAAGTCAACAGTGAAATAGCCAAAGTACTTACATACAATGTAAAACTGGTCCTCTCCATGGACGAAAGTATTACTAAAGCATTATGTTAATGTACTGTTGGCAAGCGATACAAAGCAGTGTGAAAACATGTTGCTGTTGCGATGCTTTATTAAACCTGAAAGGTCGTGGTAAATGATACATAAAAAATACCTGTACTAAATGAAAGCAAGTTTGACATATGCCAAAAAAAAGTACTAGACTGGAATTATGGCCAAAGAAAGCCGAACAAATAAATTTAATTCCTGTGTGCAATGTGCAAAAAAAGCAAATAACAAATTTGTGTTATAATACAAGACCACAACAATACAGAAATGTGCCTAATTTTACAGATAGTGTAATCAGTGTAATATATTGGAGTAAAAAATGTGAGAAAATAGCTATCCGTGCCTATGAGAAGCAACTATCAACCATTTCATTAGCTGAGGAATGTTTATTTCATTGAACCATCCTTATTTAGCTGCTTTTCCTGATGGACTTGTGGAATAACTATGTTAGAAGTTAACTATTCCTAGTCAATAAAAGATTCAATGATTAGTTCTGATAGTTTGTCATATTTAGAAATGAAAGGAAATTAAATTCAAATTATTATAATCAAGTGCAAAACTCAAATGTTTGTCACTAGTCGTGAGTTCTGTGATTGTTTCACTTGAACAAAAAAAGATATGAGATGTATTTCTATAGGTAGAAAAAATAATTTAATTCATAATAAAATAATCCCTCAAGCCAAAGAGTTTTTTGAGTAGTATATGGTTATAGCATTTTTCTGAAAAATACTATTTCTTACCGAAGTAGATAAGCTTAATCTTTATAACAAAATAAAAGACAAATAAATAGTATTTATGTTTTTTTTTTTATTTATTTATGCCTCAACCTCATAGGGTCATTGGCGTTGTACAATTTAGAGTTTTACAGTTTATTTAGTACATTTATGGAATGTAAGTATGATGTCAAATTTTTCATATCAGTTCCGTCACTTAATATTGCCTGTAAGGTATCTTGTAATTTATATTGAAGTCTCTCCATGCGATATAAAGGACACTCCAGTAAAATATGGCGAACACTGAGCACAATATCACATATGTTGCACTTTGGTTTTAATTCACTCTCTAGCAGATGTTTATGGGTGATGGCGGTGTGGCCTATTCTCAGACGAGATAGGATGGTTTGATGTTTACGCTTATTTGGGGTTGATTTCCAAGCTAATATGGAATATTTTACTTCTCGTAGTTTGGATGTTGATTGATTCCACTTGGTCTGCCAATCATTGATTATTAAGTTCTTGATTACAGGTTTTATATCTAGATGTGGAATGCTTCTGATTTCTACAGCTTCCGGACTCGAGATTGCTAGTTTTGCCAAGGAATCTACTTCTTCGTTACCAGCAATTCCAATATGGGAAGGAATCCATACAAAGTTGACATTTATGTTCATAGTTTGCAGTTGGCTTAATGCTGATTTAATAAGTAGTAGACTTGGATGACTAGGATATAAGTTATTTAGGGCAATTACAGAACTTAGGGAATCCGTAATAATGACAGGGTTTTTGATACTATTTTCTACCACAAAATTTATTGCATTGAGAATAGCAGTTAATTCGGCTGTGTAAATGGATGTTAATTTAGGGAGTTTCATTAATATTTTTGTTTTATTAGACATAAATGCTGCTCCCACTCCATCTATAGTTTTAGAGGCATCGGTATATATAAGTGTATGGTTACTGTATGTCTTGAATTCTTGGAGGACATATTGATATAATATTTTGGGATGAATATCTGCTTTTTTATATATGGAGAGTGTGGTATTGATAGATGGGATGGGAACAGTCCAAGGGGGAACAGTGTTAATATCGGGTATACAATAGATATCTTTAAATTTGAATTCAAGTTCATTGAGGTATCTATTTACCCTTTCATAAAAAGGAAGGTCAAGCCTAGCATGAGTTTTAAAGATATTCCTAAAACGGTCTGAATTTACATAGTGATTAACAGGATTCATAGGATTTGCCTGTATTGATGCCGCATATGTTAGTGAAAGTTGTTTTCTTCGGAATTCCAGGGGACTTCTCCAGCTTCACAGTGTAAACTTTCAGTAGGGCTAGTATAAAAAGCACCTAGTATAGTTCGCAAAGCACTATTTTGTATTCGATCGAGTTGTTTTATGATATATGGTTTTGCTGAATCATAAATAATACAAGCGTAGTCGAGTTTGGACCTGATCAATGACTTGTACATAAGGGTCAGTGTTTTACTATCTGCTCCCCACGTGTTGTGTGCAACAGTTTTTATAATGTTAAGTGCAGATTGACAAGTACTTTTTAGATCATGAATGTGGTGGTTCCAGGATAATCTGTTGTCAAATGTCATGCCTAGACATTTAATTTTCTCAACATATTTTATTTCTTTATTAAATAGTTTTAATTCTGGAGTGATATAACTTCTTTTTTTTGAAAATAGCATAGCCTTTGATTTTGTTGTTGATAATTGAAGACCTGTAGAATTTGTCCATAATTCGAGATTCCATAGCACTTTCTGTAGATGGGTCTGAAGGGTTTTATCATTTATCCCCTTAACAAAAATGATTAAGTCATCTGCAAAGAGTCTAGCTTTTACTGGTAAGTCACAAGTGGAGATAATATTATTTATTGCAATAAGAAATAGGGAGACGCTTAAATTAGATCCTTGAGGAATTCCGTTTTTTTGAATTTTTGTATTAGATAAAGTACCGTTAACTCGTACATTAAAAGTTCGATGAGATAGGAAATTTTTTATGAATTGTGCTATATTACCTTTTATTCCCCATCGACTAAGTGTTTGAACAATACCATGTCGCCAAACTGTATCGTATGCTCTTGTTATGTCAAAAAAATATTGCGATACATTTTTGTCCACATGCCATTGCTTCATGAATCTCAGACTCTAAACTAATAAGATTATCCAGTGTTGAACGACTTTTTCGGAATCCGCTTTGTTCCGGGGCAAGTAATTTATTATTTTCTAAAAACCACATTAATCTGTTGGATATGATTTTCTCGAGAACTTTACACATTACACAAGTTAGAGAAATAGGTCTATATGAATGTGACAGAGATTTTGGTTGATTTTGTTTATAAATAGGGATGACAATAGATGAACTCCAGATTTTTGGAAACTTGCTATATCTCCATATATTATTATAGATATTCAGCAAGTGTTTCTTTGCAGATGAAGGAAGTTTTTGAAGAAATATTGCAGGAATGTTATCAGGACCGGAAGAAGAGTTTTTTGTATTATTGAGTGAGTATTCTAATTCATCCATGGTTATGGGATAATTTAAAGGAGAAAGGTCATCAGGCGGTATATCAATACCTTTGGATTCCTCTTTCTCTTTTTTGGTCAAAAAATCTGGAGGAAGGACATTATCACTTGAGAATCTTTCAAAACTATTAGCTAGAATATTAGCTATGTCTAGAGGGGAAGTGTATATTTTTTGTTTTTCTTTTAAGAAGTTAATGTGGTTTGGGGTATTTTTCCCGGATATCTTTCGTACCATTTGCCATACTTTATTAATTGGTGTAGATGAATTTAATTCTGAAACAAACTTTTTCCATGATTCACGTTTACTTCTTTTAATTATAAATCTAGCTCGTGCTTTTAGTCGTTTGAATTCTAATTTATTTTCAAGTGTATTATATTTCCTGAATCGATTTAATGCTGTTTTTGAAAGTTTAATAGCTTCTTGACATTCAGAATTCCACCAAGGGAATGACGAATTTAATTGTTTAGGATTCATTTTACCAACGGCTTTTTCGGCAGCATTCAATAATACATTGGAAAACTCTTGAATTTGACTATCAATATTATTATTTGATTGTAAAATTTCATGTAATGCATTCATTTCATTTAAAACTAGATTATAATACTCTTGCCAATTTGCATTTTTGATATTCCATTTTTCAACATTACAAGAGTATTGTATACTGTCAGGATTTGTTATTACAATCGGAAAATGGTCACTATCATTTAAATCAGAAAGTACATCCCAAGATAAGGTAGCTGATAATGCTGGATCACATATTGAAAGGTCTATGGCAGAGGATTTACCAGTAGAAATGTCAAAATGAGTATTTCTTCCATCGTTTAGTAGGTTTAACTGAAAATTGTCCAACATTATTTCGATTCTACGACCTAATGGAGTAATTATTTTTGATCCCCATATGTAATTATGTGCATTAAAATCTCCAACTATTAGACGAGGTGAAGGTATTTGTTTAATCAAGTCTGAGATTTCATTATTGCTTGGGTTTTGTGTAGGTGGAATGTATATATTACATATGTTCATTTTTACAGGCCTTTTGATAGTAATTGCGACCGCTTCAAGTTGTGTATTGATTTGAAGAATGTCTACATCGATGGATGAATGAGTGTAAATTGCTACGCCACCACTAGCATGGTCTACATTTTCTCTATTTTTATATGTGCATGTGTAGTATTTTAAATTATGAACTTTAGTATTTTTAAAATGAGTTTCCTGTAAACAAAGTATGGATGGAGTAAGTTTTTTAATCATTTGTTGTAATATCTCAAGGCGAGTGTAATATCCTCGTAGGTTCCACTGGATAATTGAGAAAGCCATTATAATATATCTTTTACAATTTCGTTATCGGATTCGGTGTTAGTTTCTGATTGTATGGATTTAAGTATTTTGTTTCGAAGTCTAGTGCATCTATTTTTTGATTTCCTATTTGATAAATTCTCATGTAGTTGATTTAAAAGTTTCAATAGGTTTTCTAGATCATTTGTATACGTTTTTATTAAGCTTACTGGGTCAGGAGTACCATGAGCATTTTCCAGTATATCTACTAATGTTTCATAAGATATTGAATGGTTTACTGAAGTATCTTCATATATTCGTCTAGCTGAATTTTTTATATCGTCAGTTACTTTAATGGTTCCTATGTTTGTGATTGAAGACTTTGGCTTTTTTAATTTAGGGTCTGGAAAGGGGTTATTTACTGGAGTATCATTTGGTGGAGGGGTTATAATTTCAGAGCGATTTCGTTTGTTTGAGGGAGGATCGTGGGACATTTGTTGAAAATCAGTGCTTTCTTTAACATGAGTAGATGGTAAAATATGGATATCCGGTTTAGTCGATAGTATAGGAGCCGAGGAAGATATGTTTTGCGTTAGGGGAATGTATTCATTGTCTATTGGATCAGTTGAAGTAGTTGGAGCAGCATTTTGTGCTTGAGATGTTTGAGTTTCTTTAGTAGTTGGGCAATTTCCAGCCGAATGTCCCGCTTGCCTACAATTAGTACATAGATCCTTCTCCATTACAAGAAATATACGATATGATGTCATTTCGTAATTCACAATTATTGAGTCGGGTATTGATGAGACTGGGGGAGAAATAAAAGTATGCCTTCTGAAACTGAAAATGTGTTTGTAATTAGGATTTGATGTACCAATTTTTAAAAAATTTATTGGAGTTACCAAAGTTAATCCCAAATTAGAAAGTGCATTTTCAATAATTGAATGTGGGATTGAAGGACAAACATTTGATATCAATAATCTTTCATTTGGTGACATTAATTTACGAGCCTGAATTTTTTGATGGTTTACAGTTATTATCCCTTTGTTAATTTGTAGAAAATTGTTAACTAAAGTTTCGCTTGTTAGATAAATGCAAATTCGACCATTTGACATTCTAGAGGAGAAGAGAATATTTTTTGGATGCATTAAATCACCAACTGCAAATAGATAGTCTTCCAACTTTGTATTTTCCAACGCAGGAAAAACTATTGCTTGTGTTTTGGATGGAAATTTAGGTACATTTTGATTTGTGACAGTTGCAAAAGATTGTTTCATATTTGTATTTGATGAACTTTGCTCCAGTTCTTGTTCAGGGGCCCCAAGAGGCGGAAAATTATCCATTTTTAATTATTATCATCGATAATTCTCAAAAACCTAGTCCGGTCCTGTCCCCTCGATATCAGAACTGATAAACGGTAGCAGTAAAAAGTTGTTGCTTTATAACCAAAATTGATTCTTGTTTACGTGGATTTAACTTAAATGTTAATTATTTAGATTAAATAAATATTTTTACTCACAGATTTTATACTTGTGGTGAGAAAAATCACTTAGATTCACTTTTTAAGTAAAACTGTAATTAGTTTGATGCTTTTTAACACTTAAAAACTGGATTTATGTGGAGCTTGTTTTAAACCTCGTTTGACTTCAGAGGTCGATCGATCAAATCTAGTATTTATGTTGATTTTACTAATTTTTATCTTTTATATTGCTCCGACAATTTGCTAACATAAAGTATACAACTATTATCCTTTATATATAATATTTAGTTTATTGTAGATAAGAGTAAATGCATTTCTGTTGCACATAATTATCTCTTCTTATTGCCACAATCCACTTTTTTCTCATCAGATTATTTTTGAAAAACCTGTGTTTTGATACTCTCGATGAGCACAAATGAACAGCACAACACTAAGCCATCTTATTATTCCAAATTAAAATAACACAGCGAAATAAATACAAAATTTACTTAAAAATATACAGATTTGGACAGTTGACGTGACGTCCAACTACACTAGCACCATCTACGTTAAGCTTTCCAGATTAGCTGCCATTCAACTGATGGGTTTTACTAAAATTTTTATTTTTATAATGGCTTCCGTAAAAATTTTGGTCTTTATTCTAGTTTTACTACAATTTAATATCATTTATGTACTAGTGTGCCGTATTCTCCACACTCGCAGTTTGGAGAATTTACAATGTTTAATTGAAATAAGTGAGATGGTGCTAGGGAATGATTGAATCAAATTCTACAGATAATTCTGATTACATCTATATTTGTTATAAAATTACAGAATCATTGCTTGGTAGGAATTTTCAGCTGAATGCCTTTATAAAAAGTCCCTTGGTACAACAAGGAGTTATCAGGCGTAATACAGAAAATGAGCAATTAAAAAAAGCAAAACTGTCCTACCCTATCAAAAATAATTAACCTCGTAACTTGATGAAAAAGTTTCTTCAGGTCGGAAAAAAAGTCAAAAAAAGATAGGTAGATTAAAATATTAGAAAAAAAATTGAAAAGAATTTAATTACGACATGGATAAATGACGATTTGGAATCAAAAGAGGATGAACATTTATATTAGGACTATGTAATGTCTGAATATTTTCTATGTTTTATTGACTGCTTATTGATATAAGCATTTTATAAGATTAATGTTACAAAAAAGGGTTTGTTAGGTAAACTGTTAGTTTAAAATTATAATACATTATCTTTTAGATCAAATGAATGGACAATCCTCGAAGGAGTTGCAATCGCAGACTCGACAACGGGAGAAGCCAAGTTTACAGTAGAATTCAAAGAGCCTGGTTAGTAAATATCTAGCAAGAATATATTAATAATGTTTTTAAATTCATATAACAAGCTACTTTTTAAATATTTTAATAATGTATACTCTAATAAGATAATTCTTAAATAGCTGGTTATACTGCTTAGCAGTGAAGGGGACCACAAAAAATCTAATTGCAGATAATCATGTAGATAAATCTTGTAAAAGACAACTTACATGTGAAGTAATAAATTTCGTTGGTAAAAAGCAAACAGTTTAAAAAAAAATTTGTCGTGAAAATTAAAAAAATTCATAGTGAATTAATGGTTAAATTTTTTCTAAATTTTTTCCAAAACTCTTAATGGAACAATCCCATTAACGTTACAACAATAGATACAACATTATTAAATGGCGATCCTACATCATTATAAAACTGCAAAGCAACGATTCCACAGGTTGTGGGCGAGGCAAAACGGACTCGTTGGTTTCTTCGACGCTTTCGCTTTGACCTGTTGAATTATTGATAATGGCAGTAGGCAGTTGTTAAAATAAGATATAAATTAACCACTTTTTAGCAACATATCTAATGTTTTACTATTATCTACACAAATAATAAATTTTGTTCATTAATGTTTTAACTATTTGATAACTAAAAGTTACAGTGGTTTACTGCATTGTTTTCAATTTAACGCAAGTTTTTATTGTATTGTCTTTAACCATTTGTTAATCTTTTAAAAACATATCAGGCGGCTTTTTATGTTGCAGTGTTAAGATTTAAAGATAAACTCAGACTATAATAATTGCATAATATCACATTTGTTTAAATATGGGTTACCTAAGTATTTTGTACTATAAAGTTTTTTGAAAAAATTTTAACAATTAATTCAGTATTTGATTTTTTGACTTTCACGACCAATTTTTTGTAAAACTGGGTTGCTTTTTACCAATGGAATATATACCTTCGCATGTAAGTTGTCTTTTACATTATTTATCTCTTTATAATTTGCTTGTTACATTGTGTAAACTTCTAAACTTCTTCTTTATCTAGTATATTTTCCTAGGACTTCAACAGCTAATCGTGCGATCTTTAATTTTTTTGTACTGCTAACTGCTATAGTATATTTGAAGAATAAGCTGGAGTAAATTCTCAGAAAAAAAACTAAATTGTTAAGCATATTTTAGTACGTGTGCTTTTCGTACAACGTCAATATTTTAGCTTATTTTACGTTGGGATTTACTTTTTAGATAGAAATTTTTCCATGTCACATGAACTATCGTAAAATTTAAATACCTGCTATTGTTAGAACTGTGTAGGCTAGGGTTTTTTCAGCTGGTCATAGACGTACTTTAAGGGTATTACATTATTTGTTTCGGTTTGTTAGATATTTAAACCATTTTCAAAGCATATTATATTTATATAAATCTGGTTATTTTAGTAACGTTATTTATGGTTATTTTTGTCGTTATGATAATGACCCATTAAATAACACGAAATAAAGGAACTCTTAAAATACATAGGTATTTAGTTAATGGTCTTTTGATAGTTTAGATAGAAAAAGTCGATTAGCGAAAGATGGTTTCTGATAAATGTGAACGCTATCTTAAATAGTATAAATTTCGATTTTTTTTGGAAAACCAATGATTAATAAAATAGTTAATGGTCTTTAAATAGTCATTCATTAATATCAGAAAATTTTTGTTTAGTCGAATATAAGCGAGTGAAGAGATCTGACACAGTTGTTTTTTGCAAGAGTGAATAGTGAGTTTATAGAATATGGAATTAACGTGTGATTATACACCAGTTAAAAAATTAAAGTTAAATCATTTATTACTTAACGAAAAGAGTGTTATCCTTAACGTCTACAATTATTTTAAGCAACACAATCCTTCCAATACTATTGATAGTATAGTTGAAATTTCGTCTAAAGTAATGGGATATTCAAAATCAACTGTATACAAACATTTCCTCCTCCTAAGTGCCTTCTCTATTGAGGTTGGCGATCAATATGGCAAATTTCTCTCTGTTCTGGGCTTGATGGATTAAGTCATTTCCTGTTGTGTGAGTCCAATCTCTGATGTTTCGGAGCCAGGATTTCTTCTTTCTTCCTATACCCCTTTTACCCTCGATTTTGCCTTCTAATATTACCTGGAGCTGCTCAAATTCCTTATGGCGCATTATGTGTCCTAGATATGACGTCTTTCTAATTTTGATTGTATTAAACAGATGAGGTCGTGTGTTCATTATTTCCAGTACCTCTTCATTTTAAAAGAGGAAAAATCAGCTGGTATAACGCCACCCAAACCGAGACCAGGAAGACCAGAAAGTGAATGTGGATGAATTTTTCAAAAATGTAATTCGTAGAATGGTCCACTCATTTTTTTTAACAAACAAATACCAACTTTAGATAAAGTTTTACAAGCCATTACCGACGATCCCGATTTACCCACAATAAGTAGAGACAATCTTTGGAAAGTTTTGCATGAGTTAAACTTTAAGTATGAAAAAGTGGACAGACAGTCAATGCTTATCGATTCCGAAGAAATTGTGTGTTGGAGACGAGACTACCTCAGAAAAATGAAGGGCATACCGTAGGGAGAGTTTGGAAAGACAAAACTATAAAAACATGTCGACAAGCATTTCTGGAAGGATATTCACCTGGTTTCAAGGAACCAACAGGTAAAAGTCGACGATTAATTGTTACCCATATAGGTAATATGAATGGATTTCTTAAGTAGAGTTTACTTTTGTTTGAATAAAAAAGACCTGTGATTATCATGAAGAAATGAACGGAGACGTGTTTGAAGAATATTTCGAACAGATGATTGAATTCATACCTAAAAATTCAGTTATTGTGATGGAAAATGCAAGTTACCACTTTAGATTAGTTTAACGTTTACCAACTACTCAATGGAGGAAAGATGAAATTGCAATGTGGTTAACTTCTAAGAATTTAATCTTTGGCGATACAATGACAAAAGCAGAATTATTAGAGCTTCCTAAAATTAATGAACAAAATTATAAAATATATGTCATTGAGGAAATAGCCAAAAAACGTGAAATTAAAATACTTCGCCTACCACCGTATCATTGCGAGCTAAATCCGATTGAATTAGTATGGGCCGAAGTTAAAAATAACGTTGCTCGAAATAGTCATCATCATCAATGGTGCTACAGCCCTATGAAAGAGCCTCGACCTTCCCAAGTCTATTACGCCAGGCAGTCCTATCCATTGCCAACCGTTGCCAGTTTGCTGCGCCTATCTTTCTACCATCCTCATCTACACCATCCTTCCATCTGAGATTTGGCCTACCCCTTTTTCTACTTCCCACGGGTTGTGACATAAGAATTCTTCTAGGAGGGTTGTTCTGCTATGATCTTGCTATATGTCCTGCCCATCTTAGTCTTCCTATTCTTATAAGAGATACTACGTCTTTACGACCAAATATTTGTTTATATCGCCCGAAATAGTACAACTTTTAAATTGTCAGATGTTACTATTTTTTTTTCATAAATCAATATCCGAAGTAACGACTGAACATTGGCAAAAATGTATTAATCACGTTATGGATATTGAGAAAAATATGTGGGAGCTTGATCATATAATATATAGCAGTATAGAACCTATAATAATTCATCCCAGATCGGATAACACTTCGTCTGAAACAGAATATGAGAAAGCTTAACTTTAAACTGTAGCTCAGAAGTTTATTTTACATTTGAACTAATTGCCGACAATTTCATTGTTTATTTTTTATTGCTAATATAATTTTCATTCTTATTTCCAATATTATTAGTATTAAGAATATTATTATTTATTAATAGGAATATATAAAAACTTACAGTTTTTGTGTATTTTACGTTTCAGTATAATTTATTGTATTTTATTATTTTATATTAACTGCATGTTTCACAAATAATAGAATTTTTATTCTTTTTATGTGTATCTTTTTATTTTAAACCAGTATTGGATTAATTACTTTGTTCTAAATATCCAAATAAATTTAACGCAAACTTTTCTTATTAACGTTTTAGTTAGAAGATGTGCACGCCTATGTATTTCGAGGTGCGAAGATTAGTATTCTGAAAATTTACTCCAGCTTATTCTTCAAATATACTATGCCTACGTAATATTGGCACATATTCTTGTTGGCCATGATATTTTGTTTTTAGCAACTTTTGTTTTTAAATTTAAATGACATTTCACCCTCACTATTATCAGTATCGAGATTAGAGCATTACGATGATCGGTACGTACTCTTAAACGTCATTGAGAAATATAATATGTTTTTTGAGTGATTTTGTTTGCTTTTAACATTGTAGCAGTTATTTAAATATAACATAATGTATATTTTTTAGCATTAACTGCACCTTTTTGGATTCTTGATATAGATTACGATCAGTTCTTTGTACCTTACTCATGCATTGTACAGGATGGGACAGTTATAGGTATGTACAGTGAAGTTTTTTTAATTGCTATAAAATAGTCCAATAAAGAATGCTTCCAGGCAAAATAATCTAGGCTAAAAGTAGCGAAATTAAATTTAATATTAATACTGTTAACAACATCATTGTTATTAGACATTTTATATCTTTAAGAAAGTAATGTAAAGTTGTTTTATGATCTTCCAGGGACATCTAGACAAAACCGAAAATTAAAAACGCTATACTTCTTGCCACTACACCATGCCCCTAAACCTTAAGTCGCCATGGGTCTTATAACCCTTGTGTATATAGAAAGTTTAATTTTTTACTTAGTGCCCATTTCTTTCCAAACATTCTTCTACATATGCCAAGAGCCATTATAGCCTTCTGTGTGACATTTTTAATATGTGGATTCCACGTCAGTTTCCAGTCAAATGTTACACCAAAGTACTTGGCCTTAATTACAAATGGAATCTGCACTTCCTCGCTCCCCTGAGCACCGGTGGCTCAAATTGTTGTAGTGTTCTTTTTCTAGTAAAAGCAATAATTGCTGTTTTTGGAGGTTAACGCTTAGTCGTTTAGCTTTACATCAATTAACCACATCTCTCAAAATAATTTGGATTAGTTTTAACACTGTCCTGGTAAAGCCCAGGCAGTAAAACCTATCTTGGGACAGGTTTGTTAAGAAGTCGTCAACCAGCGTTGCCTACAGCAGTGGAGATAATACTCCTCCCTGTGGGCAACCACTTCCTACTTTCGCCTCGATAAGGGCTTCGCGTAAAATGGACTATTCGTTAAGCCTGCTTTTATCCATTCACATATGAAGGTAGGGACATCTCTTCTTAGTGCTTCCGTCGTGAATTCCAAAGACACGAGATGTTCATTCAATATAACGATAAATATTTTTTACGATCTCAATTGGATAAGTATAAAATACGTATAAACCGTATATACCTACTTTATACGTATAATACGTATAAAGTAGGTATAAACCTTTGTAAAATATTAATCGCAATAGTAATTAAATAAATATTTTTTTTGTAAATTATAATTCAATATTTTTTCAACATTTATACATTTTTTTTATTTTCCACGTGTGTGAAAAACATTTATAATATTTAAAACACTTGGCAACAAATATGGCGCGGTTACATGCATATCGCCGGTTGCCGCTTGCGCACGAAGCTTGTAGTTTAGTATTTGTAAAGTTTCAGACAAATTTCAGTAAAATTAAATTTACTGTCTTGTATATTTGATAGACCCCTTTGTCGTTACCTATGACGGACTAGGGGTCCATCATAGGAAAAATACGATTAACATAATACATTTTACAGGAATGGATCCTTATAAAAGGCAACAGTGCAATGAGAGTAACATGCAGCAAGCTTTAAAAAGCATTCAAGAAAAAGGTATGGGGTTTAAGCTGGGAGCAAAAACACTTAACGTTCCAAAAACTACTTTGAAAAGGCGCTTCAATAAGCAACAAGAAAGTACCAAAGGTGATTTGGGAGGACGAAAACCAGCATTTTCCACTGCTATTGAAAAGGAAATTGCTGACCATATTATCACCATGGAAGCTCCTTTTTTGGCTTGACCAGTAAAGAGTTACGAAAACTTGTATACGAAGTTGCCGAAAAAAACAATATTAACCACAGTTTTAATAAGGAAACGAAGATGGCAGGCTGGAAATGGGTCAGAGGCTTTTTAAAACGAAATCCTCGAATATCATTAGCATATATATTAGGCGAGTTTCAATTTTCACCGGAAAACATTTATAACATGGACGAGTCCGGTTAAACAACTGTGCAAAAGAGATCGCAGGAGATAATTTATGCTAGTAAAGGTCGCAAACAAGTTGGTGCTTTAAGTATTGCAGAGCGCGGTCTACATGTTACGGTCGTATGTGCAATGAATGGAATTTGAACATATGTTCCGTCTGCTTTGATTTTTCCTCGAAAGAGAAAGAAAGACGAACTTATGATCGATGTATCTGCTGGAAGTGTAGCCTTCGCTCAAGAAAAAGGATGAGTGACTTCCGACATTTTCTGTCTCTGGTTGCAACATTTTTTAAGGTATTGAAAGGCTTCTAAAATCAACCAAGTTTTGTTGTTACTCGATAGTCATGGTAGTCATAAAAGTTTTGAAGCTTTCCAGTTTGCAAAAACAAACAGTATTATTATGTTTTGTTTTCCTGCTCACTGCTCTCATCACGTTCAACCTCCGGACATAGGATTTTTTAGGCCACTTCAAACTTACTACGGCCAAGAAATTCAATGATGGCTGTGACAGAATCCAGGTAAAACAGTTACCCAATTTAAAGTAGCCAGTATTTTTAATAGAGCTTTTTAAAAAGTACTCTTCCATTAAATGCAATAAATGCATTTAAAAAGACAGAAATAGAACCGTTTAATCGAGATGTCTTCGAGGATTGGCAGTTTTTGCCGTCTATAACTACAAATAGAGAAAATTATAAACAAAACCCACTACCAGGATGTTCTGACGAGAACTCACTACCGGAACATCGGAACCAAAATGTTTTTTCTATTGAAGGTTTATCAAAAATCACTGATCAGAAATTAACATAATCGTCAATCCTAAACATCTCGGTCGAAGAAATTTGTCCTCCTCCTTTCGCTGGAGTATCTGAAGTAACTCAGAAAAGAGGTAGAAAACGGGGTAAAATAGGATATTTAAATTCAATGCCAGAAATTGATGATATAAAAGAAAATATTGCAGAAAAAGAAGCAAAAAAAAAACAAGACGCAAAAAAGTGAAAAGGCAAGTTCGTGTTTTAACTACAAACAATTCTGAAAACAATTGTGATCTTCTTTTGAAGAAGACGACTCAGACGATGCAGCTTGCATTTCCTGAAACGAACTATTTTCGCATTTACGATCCAAAGAAAAATGGATTCGTTGTCAAGTGTGGAAGAATTGGTGTCACAATAAATGTGGAGATGTAAATGCTGGACGTAAACAATTTATGTGTGAATTGTGAATATAACTTTTTTCTTAAAAATACCTATTTGTAATATTATTTATCGTTTAGAATATATTTTGGTTTAATAAAATAATTTGGTATTTACTTATTTTATACAAAATGCAACGGGTTCATCATGGGCCTATCAAAGGGTCCATCATGAGCGCATATATGCCCATGATGGACCCCTAACAGAGTTTTAATAAACTATGAATAACTTTTGTCATCTTAATTTTTATCAAAATTTGAAACATTTACATTTTATACAAATAACAAGACGTTATTCATATTTAAAGCATGCTAAGTAAATTTTTAAAATTATTATGGAGCTTTTTCCTTAAGAGGTCCATCATAGGCACATTTCCCCTACGTATGTAGGTACATATTATTCAAACTGAGTAGTACGTCTTTACATTAAATTATGAAGAAAAACCTTTTAAAAGTTGAGTCCGACATTTAATTAATATAAATGTAGAAACAGTTAGATTTAATTTTTTTTTTTTTTTTTTTTTTATTTATTTATGCCTCAACCTCATAGGGTCATTGGCGTTGTACAATTTAGAGTTTTACAGTTTATTTAGTACATTTATGGAATGTAAGTATGATGTCAAATTTTTCATATCAGTTCCGTCACTTAATATTGCCTGTAAGGTATCTTGTAATTTATATTGAAGTCTCTCCATGCGATATAAAGGACACTCCAGTAAAATATGGCGAACACTGAGCACAATATCACATATGTTGCACTTTGGTTTTAATTCACTCTCTAGCAGATGTTTATGGGTGATGGCGGTGTGGCCTATTCTCAGACGAGATAGGATGGTTTGATGTTTACGCTTATTTGGGGTTGATTTCCAAGGTAATATGGAATGTTTTACTTCTCGTAGTTTGGATGTTGATTGATTCCACTTGGTCTGCCAATCATTGATTATTAAGTTCTTGATTACAGGTTTTATATCTAGATGTGGAATGCTTCTGATTTCTACAGCTTCCGGACTCGAGATTGCTAGTTTTGCCAAGGAATCTACTTCTTCGTTACCAGCAATTCCAATATGGGAAGGAATCCATACAAAGTTGACATTTATGTTCATAGTTTGCAGTTGGCTTAATGCTGATTTAATAAGTAGTAGACTTGGATGACTAGGATATAAGTTATTTAGGGCAATTACAGAACTTAGGGAATCCGTAATAATGACAGGGTTTTTGATACTATTTTCTACCACAAAATTTATTGCATTGAGAATAGCAGTTAATTCGGCTGTGTAAATGGATGTTAATTTAGGGAGTTTCATTAATATTTTTGTTTTATTAGACATAAATGCTGCTCCCACTCCATCTATAGTTTTAGAGGCATCGGTATATATAAGTGTATGGTTACTGTATGTCTTGAATTCTTGGAGGACATATTGATATAATGCTTTGGGATGGTTATCTGCTTTTTTATATATGGAGAGTTTGGTATTGATAGATGGGATGGGAACAGTCCAAGGGGGAACAGTGTTAATATCGGGTATACAATAGATATCTTGAAATTTGAATTCAAGTTCATTGAGGTATCTATTTACCCTTTCATAAAAAGGAAGGTCAAGCCTAGCATGAGTTTTAAAGATATTCCTAAAACGGTCTGAATTTACATAGTGATTAACAGGATTCATAGGATTTGCCTGTATTGATGCCGCATATGTTAGTGAAAGTTGTTTTCTTCGGAATTCCAGGGGGACTTCTCCAGCTTCACAGTGTAAACTTTCAGTAGGGCTAGTATAAAAAGCACCTAGTATAGTTCGCAAAGCACTATTTTGTATTCGATCGAGTTGTTTTATGATATATGGTTTTGCTGAATCATAAATAATACAAGCGTAGTCGAGTTTGGACCTGATCAATGACTTGTACATAAGGGTCAGTGTTTTACTATCTGCTCCCCACGTGTTGTGTGCAACAGTTTTTATAATGTTAAGTGCAGATTGACAAGTACTTTTTAGATCATGAATGTGGTGGTTCCAGGATAATCTGTTGTCAAATGTCATGCCTAGACATTTAATTTTCTCAACATATTTTATTTCTTTATTAAATAGTTTTAATTCTGGAGTGATATAACTTCTTTTTTTTGAAAATAGCATAGCCTTTGATTTTGTTGTTGATAATTGAAGACCTGTAGAATTTGTCCATAATTCGAGATTCCATAGCACTTTCTGTAGATGGGTCTGAAGGGTTTTATCATTTATCCCCTTAACAAAAATGATTAAGTCATCTGCAAAGAGTCTAGCTTTTACTGGTAAGTCACAAGTGGAGATAATATTATTTATTGCAATAAGAAATAGGGAGACGCTTAAATTAGATCCTTGAGGAATTCCGTTTTTTTGAATTTTTGTATTAGATAAAGTACCGTTAACTCGTACATTAAAAGTTCGATGAGATAGGAAATTTTTTATGAATTGTGCTATATTACCTTTTATTCCCCATCGACTAAGTGTTTGAACAATACCATGTCGCCAAACTGTATCGTATGCTCTTGTTATGTCAAAAAATATTGCGATACATTTTTGTCCACATGCCATTGCTTCATGAATCTCAGACTCTAAACTAATAAGATTATCCAGTGTTGAACGACTTTTTCGGAATCCGCTTTGTTCCGGGGCAAGTAATTTATTATTTTCTAAAAACCACATTAATCTGTTGGATATGATTTTCTCGAGAACTTTACACATTACACAAGTTAGAGAAATAGGTCTATATGAATGTGACAGAGATTTTGGTTGATTTTGTTTATAAATAGGGATGACAATAGATGAACTCCAGATTTTTGGAAACTTGCTATATCTCCATATATTATTATAGATATTCAGCAAGTGTTTCTTTGCAGATGAAGGAAGTTTTTGAAGAAATATTGCAGGAATGTTATCAGGACCGGGAGAAGAGTTTTTTGTATTATTGAGTGAGTATTCTAATTCATCCATGGTTATGGGATAATTTAAAGGAGAAAGGTCATCAGGCGGTATATCAATACCTTTGGATTCCTCTTTCTCTTTTTTGGTCAAAAAATCTGGAGGAAGAACATTATCACTTGAGAATCTTTCAAAACTATTAGCTAGAATATTAGCTATGTCTAGAGGGGAAGTGTATATTTTTTGTTTTTCTTCTAAGAAGTTAATGTGGTTTGGGGTATTTTTCCCGGATATCTTTCGTACCATTTGCCATACTTTATTAATTGGTGTAGATGAATTTAATTCTGAAACAAACTTTTTCCATGATTCACGTTTACTTCTTTTAATTATAAATCTAGCTCGTGCTTTTAGTCGTTTGAATTCTAATTTATTTTCAAGTGTATTATATTTCCTGAATCGATTTAATGCTGTTTTTGAAAGTTTAATAGCTTCTTGACATTCAGAATTCCACCAAGGGACTGACGAATTTAATTGTTTAGGATTCATTTTACCAACGGCTTTTTCGGCAGCATTCAATAATACATTGGAAAACTCTTGAATTTGACTATCAATATTATTATTTGATTGTAAAATTTCATGTAATGCATTCATTTCATTTAAAACTAGATTATAATACTCTTGCCAATTTGCATTTTTGATATTCCATTTTTCAACATTACAAGAGTATTGTATACTGTCAGGATTTGTTATTACAATCGGAAAATGGTCACTATCATTTAAATCAGAAAGTACATCCCAAGATAAGGTAGCTGATAATGCTGGATCACATATTGAAAGGTCTATGGCAGAGGATTTACCAGTAGAAATGTCAAAATGAGTATTTCTTCCATCGTTTAGTAGGTTTAACTGAAAATTGTCCAACATTAGATTTAATTTTTTGTTTATAAAATTTAAACTATTTATCGAGCGTTTTTTACATTACTTATCTCTTTTTTTCAGAGAACCTATTTATAGTCACAAGAAATTTGAATCCATCGAATGATGTGATAAATGCTGCTCTCAAAGTTATCAACGACAACAATCTTGATGCCACTCAATTATTGCAAACCGATAAAACATGTGATTACGAATGAGAAAAGTTTATATATAAATTTTAAATACTCTAAATAAATAAAGTTTATTTGGGAATAAATGTGCTAATGAGAATAAATTTGGAATTTATTTTTATTTGTTATTCTTATGTATGTTATATTAATGTATAACATATTTATAATTTATTGTGAATGTAGACGGCTAAAATAATATAAACCGAATCGATATTACAATCGAACGATCGGTATTACTATCGATAGATACTTGGATTACAAGGAAAAAAAAACTGGGATCCGCAACAAAACAAAAGTGACCGATGTATCAAAGCAGATAGCAAAACTTAAGTAAAAGTTCGCTGGACATACCATAAGACACAAAGACTACAGATGGAATAAGATGATTATACACTGGAGACCATATAGTTATGTTCATAATGTAAGAACTAAAAGGGTATACCGATGCTAGACACCTTACATAATGTGCTTGCCATATCAGTTTAAATAGCCCAAATTTTTTAAACGAAATAGAATAGAAAGGTTTGGGTTCGTTGACAAAAATTATTCCCACGAGATTTTTTTGCTAAATCAGAATAAATACCCAATAATAAGGTTCAAGAGATATCGTCCATGGGAGAAGTGGTCTTAATTTATTTAAGCAATTTTTTTTTAACAAATTGTAAAAATCAATTTTTTTGCTTAGTAGAGAAAAGTTAATTTCCCTCTGATAAGTGGGATATTTTTTTTTTGTTTTTTGGCCTTAGGTACACGACCTATTTAGCCAGACAATATAGGTATAAGAATATAGAATACATAATAACAATCTCCTACACTTCCTTCAAATTCATAACAATTTCCTAACCGTTCGTTCATTCGCACCACATTCACTCAATTTCCTAACCTTCCCATTAAAAACACTATTGTGTGACTATACAAAAAGGATTGAACAGGAACACACGCTTCACTCTAAGGTGCCCTTCATAGCGACTTTTTTGTAACACAAACAATACAGGCAACGGTTAAAGGTAAAAGACATAAAAGGAAAGACAATGGGAAATACAACAACTAACGTCCTACCATTTCGGATTCACACAACTACACTGAACAGGGCAGTTTAGATTTTCCGTTTGGTACGTTTGAAAAATTCCCATAAAATTGATGATCTTATAATTGAATTTCGACTACCTAAATACAGAATAGAAGCAACGTTCTGCGGCAAAATGATTTTTTCTTAAGAGATGGCTTGAAATAAAAATTTTATAGCTTCTTGATTATACCGACATTCAAACATCCAGTGGTTAAGATTGTCATAACTGCCATTACATTCACATATATCAGTTTCGGAAAGTTTTATTTTATATAAGTAAGCATTTACTGTAGCATGTCCAAAAAGGCATCTAACGTACATAGTATAAATTTTCCGAGAGATGGGACTTCTGTCACTTAGAGGAGTAGATGGAAGAGTTGGATATATACTGTAGTATGTATTTTTTCTACTGTTAGTAAAGGATTGCCACTCAATTTCCCAATTATGTCTAACATATTTCTTCCTAGCTGAAACTATATCCCATTTGGGCAACTCGTTGTACTCTATACCCACTAAAGTAGCGTCTTTAGCCAAATGGTCTACTTTTTCATTGCCTGGCATGTTAGAGTGACTTTTAACCCACACAAAGTTAACAACTCTTTTTAGAGAAGTTAAGATTCTTAGCTTTTCAATCGCATCTACAATTAGTCTGTTGGTATATATGTGTTTAGAAAAGTGTCTTATTGCGAGGAGGACGGACTGTGAGTCAGATAAGATTATATATCGTTCGAAATATAATGTACTATTAATTATCCAATCCAACGCCTTGACAATGGCTACCAATTCAGCTGTGAATATTGAGCAATCTGATTTTAATTTGTACTGAAAATAATCTTGAATATTGTCTATGTAAATGGCACAGCCAACACCAGCAGGCGATTTTGAACCATCGGTATAAATTTTACAATAATGGTTGGAGTCTTCCAGCTTGTTCTGTACTACTAAATCTTCGTGAACAATCGAAATATATGAAGGAATTACTACAGTAGGTTTATATTCATATAGTAAGTCATAATTGGAGCCAAAGAATGGAATCCCTCCTCCATTAAATGAATATTGGGATAAATTAGGAAAAGCAACAGCTAGAGTTGGAGAGTTTTTATTTGCCCATCATTTGTTTGTTAAATTTTCGACAGAGAGACAAGATATTTTTTGAAATAAGCTGTTTTGATTATTAAACTGGCATTTAAGGATAAATTTTTCTGCCAAAAGGGCTGGTGTGGGAGTAGATTTGAGAGCTCCTAGGACTAACCTTAAAGCTTTGTATTGTATTCAATCCAATTTAATCAAACGAGATTTTGTCGCTGATCCATAGAAAAAGCTTCCGTAGTCCAAAATTGATCTGGTATATGCTCTGTAAAATAATAAGTTAATTTTCGGGTGTGCTCCCCAATCGTATCGATTAACGGCCTTAAGGATGTTAAGGCTCTTTTCACATTTGGTAATGCAATTATTAATATGCTCGTTCCAGGTTAATTTTGAATCCAAGGTAACACCTAGGTATGTAAAACTGTTATATACAGGAATTTCCAGCTGGGAGAATTTTAACGTACTAACTTTTGGTAACCTGTGTCTCGAAAAAAAATACTACACCTGACTTCTTAGGCGAGATGTCAAGCCCATGACTATCAAAATACTTTTTGCAATAAGACATATTCACTTTAAGGGCAGTAACACATTGTTGAAAAGTTTTTTTCTCAACATAGAAACAGAAGTCATCAGCATATTGTAAAATGTTACACTGCATTCCCATAGTATGTAAGTTTGATGAATACAAGTTAAATAATAAGGGGCTAAGAACTGAGCACTGAGCTAACCCTTTGTTAACTGTCCTTGGACCAATCAGTGAATTATTTAAACGAATATGAACTTGTCTATTTGTAAATAGATTGACTAGGGTATAAGCACATCTACTAGGCACTCCTAATTTGACAAGTTGATCAAGCAGAAGATCAAGAATAACGTTATCATATGCATCAGAAATGTCCACAAATAAAGCAGCTGTGTATTGGTTTTTCGAATAAGTTAACTGGATATCGGTCGCTAAATGTGAAATGCAATCCATCGTTCCTTTCCCTCTACGAAACCCAAGCTGACCGTCTGGGTAAAGGTGATTACTTTCCATCCACCATTCTAGTCGACTTTTCATGATTCGTTCAAATGTTTTCAATATACATGACATAAGAGATATGGGTCTTAGGACATTGGGATCATTAGCTTTTGGGATAGCTTTGAGATAGACACTGCTTTAAACAATCGCAGTTATCACCTTTAATTAGAATATTGTCAAAAATATCACGGAGAAATTGAAGTGCTATTGTAGGCAAGTAGTATATCATAAGATAATTAATACCATCAATCCCAGGGGAGGATCTCTTAGAAAACTTGATATTAGCAGTTAGTTCGTTGATACTAATAGGAGATGACAAAAAATGTGATTTAAATGTATCTTCAGTGGGATATATTGGAGAGGGAACATAGCAAGGAGCTATTTTATGGAATAAATTTTCAACGATATTTTCGTCGTGCACATACAGATTTTTATTTTTTTTAATTTTCTTAATTCTATCCCATATTTTAGTTGGATGAGTTTGTCTGTTTAGATTGAGACAGAAGTTGTCCCAACTATTTCTACATTTCTGTTTAAAGATTAGTTTACATTTAGCATTTATTTTTTGATATTCAACAAAGTTTGCCAGACACATATTTTGTTTGTACCTTTTGCATGCAATTTTTCTCTTATTCGATATCTCACAGCACTCCTAGTCCCACCATTTAGCTGATTTGAATGATATATTTGAGGATGATCTTAGAATTTTGCAAGCTTTGTTCGCAGCATTCGTTTTCTGTTCCATTAAAAATATACACATACCGTTGGTATCGATGCAGTTTGGTGGCTTGGAAAATGATTTCTCTATTTCAGCTGTATATAAGGTCTAATTTGCTTCATTCGTAGACCATCTATATAATGGGAACGTGATTGCATCATCATTGTGATAATAGTTATTGAGCGTTGTACTGATTGAGTAATGATCTGATCCATACGTATCCTAACAGGCCAACCAAGTGTAGGACATACCTTAGATGAAGCAATTGTGAGATCTACTGCAGATTTAGCCTGGCCAGGAGGGGAAATCCTTGTGGCAGATCCATCGTTTATAACAATCAAGTTTGAAAAATGATCTAAAGCATTCACCAAAACTCTGCCATCATGTGAGCATGAAGGTGAGCCCCACATGCCGTGATGGGCATTAAAGTCGCCTCCTATTATGCAATCATGTTTTATTTGACTAAATAAATTTATGTAGTCTTGAGATTTCGCTTTAACATCGGAGGGTTTATATAGAGATACTATAGAGAGTTTTTGGTTACCAAGAATGATATTGATTCCACAAACTTCAATTTTTGGATTAAAATTATGATTAAATTGAATGACATCGTATATAATTTTATGTGAAATGAAAATTGCTACTCCCCCATAACCTTTATCTCTATTAACCGCAATGACGTTAAAGTTATTAAACTTAATGTTGTCAGTAGGCTTATACCATGTTTCAGAAATTATTGCAATATCAAACTTTTCCTCCATTAAAATTTGGTAAAAAGAATTTTTGTTACCTTTAAGAGATCTAGCGTTCCACTGAATAATTTTAAGATTTTGTTTAAAGGACATCTTTGAGTTTTTTTTTGTTTTTTTAGGTTTTAAATATATTATCAACAATGTTTTTAATTTTATTTTCAAACTCTATTTCTTCAAAATTTAAACTACTATTTGATAATGGATTCTGTGAAAATTGGTGAAAAAAACTTGTTAACATGGTAATTACTTGATGTTTAAGTGTTGAAAAATCATTTTGCGACTCTTTTCCAAACTGGAAGACCGGTCCTGCACAAAAGCTAGTATTATATTCTTGTCTAATGGGTGGAAAATTGGGAGAAGAATCACTAGTTTTTTCTTTTTTTTTTTGGCAAGGG